GATTGGTTTAGAGAACCTTGAAATATTGAGTACTCAATTGAGTTTTGGGATTGATTGAATTGCATACATTTGTTTTCTAAATTGCAGGTTATCCATTCTATTCCGACTTCCTAAACCATGTCCAATCCTAAACGTGCTAGGTCATCATCTAGTCACTCACACCTTCAACCAAATCCACCTCCAAATCCTCCCCCTATTCCTGAAATTCCAATTCCTAATCCTAATCCTATTGATCCTAATATGACTATCCAAAACTCGTGCTTCAATCATCCTGGCCCTAGAAATCATCATTTTTGGTATTATCATTATTTTGACTCTTACAAAATTAGAGAATAACGTATCCCTTCTCGTCAAGCTATGTTAGATATTGATTTTAGATATCTTCATCTTTTACAAGAGTGGAAATTTGATAAACTTTGTGACCTTGAACCTATAGTTTACCATCAACTTGTTCGCATCTTTTACTCTAATGCCGTTTGTGTCAAAAATCGAGCTCAAACTGAAACCATAGAAGTTCGTTCCTACCTCCTAGGACAATTCTTACATATTGACTCGGCTTACATAGCCAAAGCATTAGGATTAGATAATGATGGTATATCAAATGAAAAATAGGTTTTAGGTTCTCGTTATAAAGGAAGGGATAGTGCGAGTGTCTTAGACCTTCATGATCGTTTTCTTCATCTAATAATTTCTTGGTGGTTTCGACCATCCGGAGGTCGTTACTCTACTCTTCGTGCTTTAGATCTTTGGTGGTTACATTGTTTCCAAAACAGTATTAAAATAAACCTACCTCAGATTATTTTTGCTGAAATCATTGAAACCGTAAATCTTGTTCCTAACTAGAAACTATGTTCATCTCTAGTTTACGGTTGCATTCTGAGTAATCTTTTTTCTAAAGCCGGGCTTAGAGTAGGTCTAGATGTCGTCTTTCCTCTAAAGAAACAAATTAATCTTCTTTCCTTAACGAGAACGGGATGGATAAAGGATAAGGAAACAGGTGAATGGGTTCGATCTTCTGAAAATACTCCGGGAGCTAGTTCTTCACGAGCTCCACCAGAAGCTGACGACGATCCCGAGCTTGAACAATTAATGTGAGACATCGATGAAGCCGAAGATGAGCCTGAGCAGCCCGAGGAGCAAGCACAACAAACGAATCAAATGCCTCCATATTTTCAATCTTTTATGGAGACATTTGATTTCCGATATTCTACCATAGATTCACGCTTTACTTCTATAGAGTCTCATTTATCCACAATGGGAGCTCAACAATTGGAAATTCTCCGGGAGATGCGTGCAAACAATGAAGCAACCAACGATCGTATTAATGAACTCACTCATGAGATGGCCGCTATGCGAGCTCGTTTTTCTCCTCCCGATCCTCCTACGGATGCTTGATTCTTTGTTTTGCTTTAGTACTTTGAACTTAAAGCTTATTGTTTCAACATTTTGAATATTTTGGAATGTTTGATTTTTGTGGATTGTTAAACTTTGGATTTGTTTGGATGTTTGAATATTTGGTTTAGTTAAATTTATTGCATCATTTACATCATTTTAGTAATATGACCAATTTTGCCATGTCACATTGTTTATGAATATTGATTATGAAACTAATGGCTAACGTTTCTCTTGATTGTAATCTTAGCAGCTTAAACTATATATATAATCAATTGGCTAAATGATTTCAAAACCTTGTTTAAAATCTTTTACGGGTCTTTTTGATTTAACAAAAAGGGGGAGAAATGTTATTAAAAGCTTTTTGAAGAGTTTTTGAAGAGGAGAAGTGTTAGAATAAGGGGGAGTAATTCAAAACTTGATTTCAAAATCTTAAAATTACTAAAATGTTTTGTTATATGAAAAAGGGGGAGATTGTTGAAAACATTTTGATATTTCGATATAACAAATTAAGTTAAATGTATTTTAAGATTTTCCAAAAAGATTTTTTAAGTATATTCGATATAATTATTCGAATATCAAAATATTACTCCAAATCTTTCAAATGTCATTTTTAATCCTTACTCAAGTGTAAAATTAAGTTTTAATCTTAAAATAATTTCAAAACGATTTTACAAAATATTTCGAACCATTTCAAAGCCAAAAATTCCAGATTGCTCAGAGGGAACCGATTTCCCCCCAATGGGGTACCGATTCCCCCTGAATGGTTTGGCTCCGAGAATTTCAGTATGCTCGGAGGGAACCGATTACCCCCAGGGGGTACCGATTCCCCCAACTGTTCAACGATCGAAATATTTGAATTTTACACCTAAGGAACTGATTTCCCATTAGGGGTACCGATTCCCCCCACACTCAAAGCAGAAATATTAATTGTTTTCACACTTAAACGGATCCAAAAACTTCATTAATGATCCCCAACGTTCAGAAGTGATTCAAGGTGTATTTAAGCAAGCTTAGAAGCCATTGATCAAGAACAAGTAACAACAAGCAACTAGAATCAATAGAGAATCAAAGAAAAAGCATCAAACCTCAAGTTTGAGCATTTCAAGCCTATTTTTCCATTCATTATTCATTTTTCTTTCAAGAACACTTATTGTGCTTAATTGTATTCATTCTTGAGTGTTCTTTTCTTTGTTCTAGAATTGTGCAAACAATCTACCTTGTGAGGATTTCCTTGTAAGTTTGCAAATTTGTATTGTTCTCTTTGGGAGAGAGTGTTCTCAAGAATTTGGGGTATAATTCTTGAGGGTTTGTAAGGTTACTCTTAGTCCTCAAAAGAAAGACAAATTAGTGAATTTGTGGAAAATCCTTAGTGTGGATAACTAAGGTAGTGGACGTAGACTTTGGTTGAGAAAGTCGAACAACTCTAAATCGATGTGCAATTACTTTCAATTTTCTGCAAAAGCTTCTACCAAATTTTTAATTACCAATTCACCCCCCTCTTGGCCGATTCCGTCAATCGATTAACTCAACAATTTCTATATCATCTAAAATCTTTCCAAGATATGTCTCATAAATGATAATTATATATTTATGTATAAGTTGCATTAAATTTCAACTACTTTGGAAGATCCTAACATGGAGCTTACTAAAGTGACATTAGATTCCTCAAAATATTTTGTTGTCACTTCTTTCACATCAACATTAAAGTTCATTAATTTCACCGTCGTCAATTGTCCTGTCTTATGCCTAAAAGTTACCATTGTTATTAATGAATGGTTTTTTCAATTGACCAATATGATATAACTCTCTTACATGTTTTGCATGTCTCTCAATTTGTTCTCACTCCCTTTGATCAATCTCTTCTAGATTTTTAGTTTCATGCCTTTGTTTCCATGTTGACATTGTTCTAGTCTTCACCTATGTTCCACTAATATGTATATTGGATATGACATGGTTGATTATTATTATTTTCTATTTTGATTGTTGAGTGTTACATTGTTCATATCAACATGTAGTTAATTATTAAATATAGGGTCGGTTTGTTTCACGTAAAACGTTTTTCCGAAAATATTTTCCTCGTTTTCCAGTGTTTGGTTGGAGAAAAACTGATTGGTCAACGTAAAACATTTTCATAGTCAACAGAATTTCCTTTGTGTTTTTTGGAAAATGACTCGTTATGATTTTCCGTAAGTCATTTTCTGAACTTTTTACTTCAAAGAATAAATACTCAAAATAATTTTATTTTATGAATTTAATAATAATAAAATATTTTAATATCATTTCAATCAAAATATTAATTATTAAATTATTTAAAATATATTTATTAATATTTCTAATAATATAATATTATAATAAAATAATCAATTATATTATTATAATAATATAATATATTATATATTTTTTTTAATAATATATAATAAATTATTAATAAAATTTATATTATTTATTAATTTCATAGAAATAATATTATTAAATTATTAATAATGAATAATATTATTTATATATTAAATATTAATATAATAATCTAATAATATTTTAATAAAGATATTTAAAATATACCAATATTAATATTTTTATTAATAAAATTTTGAAAATAATATTTTAATAATAAATAAATTATTTTAATATTTAAAAATAATAAGATTAAGTTTTATGATAAATAATATTATTTATTGTATTTAATATTCGTAATAAATAATTTTTAAAAAATTCATCAACTAGTGGGAAAAGGGTTTAAAAAACATATTTCAAACATCATAAAATGTTTTCCAGAAAATGTTTTTCAAAAAATATAATTCATTTTACGGAAAATATTTTCTAGAAAACGTTTTCAGTGAAACAAACGGAATCCTACTTTGTAGCAGAATTTTATTGCGAAAATGTCTACAATTTGTGTTGGTTGGATTGTCGATTCTTTCATTAGACTACGCGTACGTGTTGACTGCAATGTGTTAATGGGATTATGTATCGAATGTTGAGTTTCGTTAAAGTTTATAGTTTAATAAAAATTGCTTGTAATCCTTAAACAAAACTCTGCAATTATGGATGGATAAGGGGTGATTGGCTGCAGGTGGAACTGCACCTTTTAAAGAAGAAGCATCGTGCATTAATATTATCTACAACTAACTCAAAAAACAATGGCCCCATTAAACATTCACCCCCCAGTAACCAGAAGAATTTTTGTTTAGATTGATTTTTAAGTTTCAATTATAGCTTTAGGATCCCCCACCCACATTATTATAATCTGCTAAGAACACAAAGTTAAAGAATCTGCACCAAATCTTTCTAAGTTTCCTTGAAAAAGCCAAGTTGTTGACAACACTTATCACCAAAGGTCCCCCCCAACCCCTCTGCGTTATCATCGGCAAATAAGTTTTGATCATAAATTCAAATTTCATATTTTGCCTATGTGATATATATGCCCTTGACACTAGGTAATAGGATGACTGATGTCGGTCATAAGGTTGATGACTATTGGTAGATTAGTGAATGAGTAGATTTGATGTCAGATATTAGATTTAACTGATGATGAGATCGACAATAATCATATTAAGAGATTGTAATATGTCAGAGGGCATAAAACTCGTGAAGTTTCGAAAACCTCCTGAATAAATCGAATTTGTTGATAAATGTAGCAGCTGGCATTGTATTCACAAACATGGATGTTATCATTTTTTTTCTCTTTACAACGAAAACTGGGATTGGGGTTTCGGGATTCTGAAGCTGAGACTGCTATCAGAGATCAAATTTTAGCAAGATGTAGAGCTGCAGATATATTTCTGCTGCTGGTTTTGGCATTGAACATGGCACGATCTGGCCGTGTCTCTCAGCTCCTGGAAAGCCTTCATCGTTTCGACATCGAATCCTCCGGCGAACTGCCACAGATAAACGGATTCGTAAGCCAAAAACAAGAAATGAGGAACCCCCTTTTGTTTCAAAGTTGTAGAAATGAATGAGAATTATGATTAACCACCTGATGTACACGGAATGCAAATCTAACACCTTGAACAATCAGCTCCTTTTCCTCGGGTCCACCCTCAACAGCTTCCAGCTCTGCAGACACTCGTCTCATGTACTTCATCGCTAGTTTCACCGACGCTAGCTTGATCTGCAACAATTTGTTGGCATATTAATGAATTCCCAATACTAAGTACACTCGAATTCGAGTAACATAAAGATTAAGAATTCAGTTTTATTCTTTTTCCCATGAATTCCACGTAGAAGAAAACAAGGAAATGTGTTTTGATTCACGTGTAGGCATGCACGCTTCCGTGTTGAACATATTAAATTACCTGACACACAATTCCAGTTTCACGCATCCAATCCATAGGGATATGGAATCCTTTGAATCTGTTTGCAGCGGATTCTCTCACTCGGGAGAGGTTGTAAACCCCATGCTCTAGCCTGCACCCATTAGCAGCCGAATGAGAACAAATTGCTAAAAATTTAAAAGGGTAAAATACATTTCAGGTCACTTGGTAATTTTTAGTTCAGTTATATGAGTCACATTTTTAAGGAGTTACAACTTCGTTACTCATTAAAATATAATTACAAAGTGATCTTTTTGTTGTTAAAATTATAACAAACGTCTAATGTAGCTTAATAAAACAATAGTTTAGTCCCAAAATTTATACATTCTATCACTTTAGTCCTAACTCAATATATTTAATCATTCGTATTAAAAAATCCATAGTTTTAATCTTTTCTTGCGATATTGTCAAACCAAACGAGTGTGTCAAATCAAAGCATTAATTCAATATTTACATTCTACCATAAGACAACAAGTTATTGTTAAACTACTATTATATCAAAAAGTAATAGAAAATACTACACCATTTCTAGTACATACTTTTCGAGTAGAGCCTGCATTTTCTTGAGAGCCGGAGCGCAAGGTTGGCGGGGACTATCACGAAACGATGAGGCCTCGGATTCTAGCTTCTTCAGATCACGATACCCAAACGCAGCCTCCCGCAACGCATCGGCCTTCTGCTCCGGCCAATCAAAATGTTTTAACACCGCCCTTTCATCCACCTAATAATTATTAATTCAAGTGTTTGGTATCCGACAATATTAATAGTAATTTCGATTGATATATAATTTATTAAATAATCGAAAAGGTGTGGATAATGTGGCATAAATGTACCAAGTAGGAGAGCTCATCGTCCAGCCATTGAACAAAAGGAACAACATCCTCGATATCTGTAAATGCAGCATTCTCAACTTCTTTGATCAGAAACCTTATGAATTCTCCTTGTGTTTCCACATCTGACTTTATCTGTTACAACAAAATTGTAATTATTACTAATAAGAAAGTAAGCAGTTAAAAGAACAACACTGTCTGTGGCATTATCGTAGATAGATAGAACTCACTCACCGCCAGCAAGTAAGCAGACCGGTTCTCGATCTCACCGATCATGTCTCTTGAATTGGCGGTTGCCGGTAAAGCCTCCTGCACGCAACAACCACCGCCCTCTTTTTTTGAGTCCCTACGCATAAGCGAGTGATAGAACTCCACAACCTCCGGAACTCTCCTCACTTTTGTCGCTGTTGTTTTCATCCCCTTCGCGGGCGGCGGTGGAGGTGGCGGCGCCATTGCCTTTATAGGCGGAAGCGGCGGGGGAGGAGGTGCAACTTGCTTGACTGCTGCCACCTGTGCCGGATGAGGCGGTGGAGAAGCTTGCTTCTCTGGGGAATCAGAGCTACAGGGTGACATGGATGATGTTGAAGATGACGAAGCCGAAGGTCTTGGAGGTGGTTTTGGAACTCTAGGAACACGAGATCTGATGTTAACACTAGTCGACTCAACGAGTTCGTCCGAGTTACTGGGTCTCTCTGTTTCGAGTTCATTTCTTTTGAACTCCAAGCTCTCAGCTTTCTCATTATTCAAAAGACTAAAAACAATGGAGTTGGCACATTTATTGTGATTACTAGTTCTTTTCAAATTCTTAATCAGATTCGACTTGGCACTAACTTCCACTAACCCTTGAAACTGCTCGCTCTCCGCCGTAATCTCCGCCTTACAATTACGATCAGAGCAAGACGCCACCGTTTTCTTCAACTCCGCTATCTGTTCCTCCATTTCCCTCACTGTCTTCTCCCTCTCCACCCTTTCTTCTTCAACCTCTCCCTTCATCAGCTCCACCTCTGTTTTCAACAACTCATTTCTGTTCCTCAGCCTCTCCACCTCTTCCAAAGCTCGTTCCAGCTCTGCGTTTTTGACGACGATCTCGTTCTCCAGCACGGGAACAATGGCCACCGATTCTTTCAGAAGCTCGTGCTCCAGAAGCTCTGTTTTGAGCCTGGACTCTCGTTCCCTTAACTCTTCGACCAACCGGAGAAGCTCGGTGATATCAGGTGGACGAGGCTGGACTTGGGCTGAGGATCGAGGGAAGTAAACGCCGAAAGAACGTGAGAAACCTGTCTTCTGGCAAGTGTTGGTTTTGTTGTTAGCTGAGCTTGAAGATGACAATGGGGGTTTTGATGGAGTTTCATGCTTTTGTGTTGCAGATGATTTTTGCAAACCCATTGCTAATCTGACCTTACCAGCCACCATTGATGGAGTTTTTCTTGCACTTTCTCTATGATTTTGGGTTGGATAAGAAGAAAGGGAAGGATGCCAGACAAACGTCCTTGTCTGGTTAGCTTTTCAGAAAGTGAAGCGTTAAACTTGGGAATTTGTGAAGTTTTCGAGCAATTGAAAACAGGGGATTAAAAAGAAAAAAGGAACGTTGGGATAATAAGAGGGGAACCAACTCTACATTAAAGGAGAAAGGTACAAATATGGAAGAACGGTCTTCTTTTGCTGGATCTAAAAGGAAAGAAAGTAAATTCATTTTTTAAAATGATTATTCAGACATCATTTTGTAAGAATCTCTTGTACAAGGTACAATTCATTTATTATTTAAAAATCATATATTGTTCATGTCTATATATTTAATACTTACCAATACGATCGTTTAACTTGTTTGTAAACACTTAGTAAACATGATCAAAAATATATTCCTAAAGATATAACTGCATATATTCACAAATAATTAAATATTTATTCTTTAGTAATTAAAACACCGCAAATGGATATAATTATAATTTTAAATAATAAAATATAATTATTCATAAATATAATATTATAAAACGATCAAGTAAATATAAATATTTTTTAAATTTCTTTTATGGATAAATGTCAAATTTAAATAAATAAGCTCGTTCTTGAATATAAATTTGTACATAGTAGGGATGAACATGGGTCGAGTCGGGTTTTCAATCAACATGATCCAGTCCGAAAATATATAAACTCCACCCGAAACTCAACCTTACATGAGTTTTAGGGTGACTTCACCTAACTTGAATCCGATCCGAAATAAATATATTTATAAAAAATTACTCTTTTTATTCAATAAAAATAGGGATCTAATTGAAAAAATATAGAGAGAGAGATGGTTATTATTACAATTATCCCTAAATATATAAGATAAATTTACATTATTTTTTGAATCAGGTTAGGTCTTTTTCAGCCTAAACCTGAACCCAAACCGAACATATTTTCTAAAATATTTTACCCAACCTGACCCAAATCCATTTTTTTAAAACTCGTCTCAATCGGGTCAGGTCAAGTCCCATGCCCATCCCTTTTATTAACGAACAATAAACAAATGATTTACAATCGACAATAATAGATCTAGAAATTCCAAATGGAGGTTCAAAATTTTAATATACTTTTCTAAAAAAAGTTGGGCATGCAAATTTTCTTTATTTTTTTCTCCTCCCCTTAACACATTAAACTATTGTTTTTATAGATTTTCTAAAATAATGGGGATGCACTTGTATCCCTATAAGACTTTGTACTTTTGTCCCTGTTTACGAGTAATTCGTCTAACACTTTATTAATTTTCAATAGTAAAATAACTTTTTTTCTTATTTTATTTTAAAAAGTTTTAAAATATATATAATTTTAATTTTATTTTCTCTAACTTTAAATTTAGTCATACATTTATTCAATCATGCTTGATTTATTTTTTTAAAAATTAAATTAAGATAATAAGATAGGAGTCATCAGCTCAACCAACTAGAATATTAAGGGGATATTTGGTAAACAACTTTATGAAGAGATTTTAACTTATTTCATCATAAATAGATGATTGATAGTCAAACCTTCTATTTTTAGTGTTTGGTAAACACATTTTAGAAAGAGTTAATTGTGCAAAATAAGCTGAAAATGAAAACGCTGGAAAATCCAGCTGTTTGAGAGAGTTAATTGTAAAATAAGATGTTAAATGACATATTTGACCTTATTATTTCCATAATTACATGCAATAAAACCTAATCTAATGAAATAGCCTCCATTATAATCCACTTGATTCTCTCATCAGAGTCTTCTCCATCGTCAAACTACAACATCAAATAACCAAACCATGGAGATTCTTTTGCAATATAATTTCACCCATTAAGGTTTGTTCTTTTTTTCTATGCTTTTAATGAGATTTACTTGTTTTTCTTTTGTAGAATTTCACCTGAAAAAATCAATTTACTGAAGTGATTTACACAAAAAAATCTCTTTGCTGAAAACAAATGTGAATCGTTTCTTTTTCCTTCATTTCTTTATGGGTATTTCATCAAATATTTCCATGTAATTTTAACTTTTGGTCTCTATAAATGTAACTTTGTCTTTGTAGTTCATTTTTTTTCCTCTAGTTAAATAATTTCCCCCCTTTAGTTAACTTTTTTTTGGTTAAATTCAACTTTTGGTTATTTCCTCTATAAATGATCCTATTATTTATGATTATTTGGCATCTATATCTGCCTCCTATCATTAATCAAATTTTTTATTTGGTGATATGATTTTGTATAGGAAGTGAATTGTCTGTCCAGCTCAGTTGGTAGAGCACAAGGCTCTTAACCTTGAGGTCGTGGGATCGATTCTCACGGTGGGCAATTCATAATTGTTGGAGGTCTTCCACGGAAGTTGCTCTCAACCTAGCGTTGGGAGCAGCCTACTACCCTACCTCCCCCTTACCTCATTACATATAGGAATAGGGTCAACTAATTTATTTTGTATAGGAAAATATTTGCATGATAAAATAAGAGAAGCGCTCCTAGTTAAGATTATAGATTAAGATTTGAGGTTAGTTTTCAATCTCTATAGTATTTGTTACCTACTTGTTCAAATGCTTGTTTAGATGCTATTTGTATCAAATCATTGTATTGTCACTTGTCTCTAATATGTACATCAAATTACATCTTCTTGTCTCATGTAGAACTAACGACATTGCATTATGTGTTTTTATATGTATTATTATAAGTAATAATAGATTGGAATGTTATCTGAGCACAATGATTATTGGAATTAAAAGGTATATAAGTAAAATAAGTGAATTTAATTATGTTATATACTACTTAGATGGCACTGAGGAAGAAAAAGAACAATGAAGAAAGTGAACATGGGGAGATAGATGTAAGACGGCTAGTTAGTCGAAAGAAAATGTACACATATTTTGTGATTTGTGTATTCAATATGCTGAAAGAAGTAATGGAAAAAGTGGTTTTACAATCTCACAAAGAGTGCCATGGAAGATGATAGAATTGTAATTAAAAAAAAAAAAAAAGCTTAGCATATGAGAAGACTAAGCTTAAGAACAAGTGAGATTGGATAAAGAATAGATGGAGCCTTGAAAGGAAAGGAAACGGGATTAAGTTGAGATCATGAAAAGGGAACAATAAGCGCTAGTGAGGAGTGGTGGACGAAGAAAATTGAGGTTAGCATATTCATCTACACTTGTTTAAATTCTTATAATTTTATTTTATTTATTTTGCTTTATAGGAAAACACACATTTTAAAGCATTTCAAAATGAAGGGATTAAATCCGAATTGGAACATAAGATGGAATAAATGTTTGGGGTTTCAATTGCACAAGGGATTCTTAAGTTTACTCCTGCCGAGCAAGAAAAGGAAACAATATATGCCCCCTCTCCCCTAAATTATAACATTGGTAGTGTTGTTTCAGATTATGATGATGTACAGAGTGAGAGTAATATAGTAAATCATACTCAAGCTAATATGGAATGATAAGAAACCATGCATGAATTATTTTCAAACAGGAGAAAAATGGATGCAAGAATTATTGAATGGTCATGAAAAGCGATGTTTTAACATGTTTAGAATGACACAATGCACGTTTCGCTAACTATGCATTGATTTAGAATGCAAGTATAGGTTGCTTCTTTCAGATAGAATATCTACTTTGAAGAAAGTGGGTTTATTTGTATTTACTCTAAGTAAAGGAGCCTCGAATCGGGATGTCTAAGAGCGATTTAAACATTATGGTGAAACCGTAAGTAGAAACTTTAAAGAGGTTTTAGATGCCATGGATGGCTTGTCAATGGACATCACAAAATCAAGAGATCCTGAATTCAAGGAAATTCCTTCATAAATTGCTAATAACACTAAATATATGCCACATTTTGAGGTAATTTTTAATGGATGTTATTTCATATATGTTATTCTATAGTAATAATTTACATCTTATCATTATGCATATCATAATAAATTCTTTTATTTTAGGATTACGTTGGAGTAACTAATGGTACTCATATAAATGTTATTCTTCGTGAGGATGATCAATTACGTTATAGAGGAAGGACATGGACACCCACCATTAATGTATCAGCGGCATGCGATTTCGATTTGCTTTTCACATATGTGCTAAACGGTTGGGAAGGATCAACTCATGATTCTCGTATTTTCTTAGATACAATTGGGAACCCAAATCTAAATTTTCAAAAACCTCCTCCAAGTAAATGTCTTCATTTTAGTTAATTGTCGATTATTATTATTTGAGTACATTCATTTTTTTTAAATAAATGTTTTTTAATTTTATGACTTTTTTTTTATCATGTTTAGGAAAATATTACTTGGCAGATTTCCTGAAAGACAAGGTATCACCAATCAGAGTTTTGTGGTGCAAATCCAAGAGGGCCACGAGAAATTTTTAATCGAGCTCATTCTTCCTTATGAAGTTGTATTGAAAGGTCATTTGACATTCTAAAGGCACGTTGGAAGATTTTAGCAAAAATGTCCATATATTCGTCTCGAGATCAAAATAGGATAATTTGTGCTGCATTTGCTTTACATAACTTCATCATATTAAGTAAAGTTCTTGACCTAGCTTTTGGATCATATATTCAAATCCGAATTTTATTCCTCCATAAGCATTTTCGAATATCGAACCCATTCAAGAATTTGAGCGTATGAGTACTAAAGAAATGAAAAAAGTAGGTGATGACATCACTACCGGTTTAATGGCAGCTAGACGATCACACCATGTTTCTTAAATATTCCTATTTGTTTGTATTTGTTTTGATATGTATCTCTTTCTTGAATATTTATGAAATTTAAATTTATTTTCAATGAACTTGTGTAAAATGAATTTTATGTAACGTCTAATGATGAATTAGTGAAAGTTTATTTTATTATTAAAATTTTTAGCTGTAGATTCTCAAATATATTTTAGTTAAGAAAATATAACAAAACATGAAATAAAAAAATGTAGTGTTGATATTTTATACAAGGTTAATAGTATGTATCAATCTCACAAGGTTAATATTTGTAAATATTAAATTTTAAAAATATATTTAAAATTTTCAAAAATTCACTAATTTTCTTAAAGAATTTTTAATTCATT